AAATCACTGCTTTTTAAGATCTAGTCTCAGCGTCTATTTCTGGAATCTGGCTAAAGTTGGACTCCCATATACACAGGTCTGATCCTATATTTAGTGTCTACTGCCATTTAATTTTCATATCCTCCACATTTATTTATATATAAGGCAATTTGGCTAACAAGATTAAATCACTGCTTTTTAAGATCTAGTCTCAGCATCTATTTCTGGAATCTGGCTAAAGTTGGACTCCCATATACACAGGTCTGAGCCTGTATTTAGTGTCTACTGCCGTTTAATATTCATATCCTCCACATTTATTAATATATAAGGCAATTTGGCTAACAAGATCCCCTGCAGAGAAGGGCGGCTTTGGAGGAAGATGAGACCCTGCTGAGGTCCCTCCTGTCCCAGAGCCCCATTCTCCTCCTCCTCTTCCTCCTCCAAATCTCCAAGAATTTCCCAACCCAGAGCTGACAACCCTAAAGGCCACCCAGTAATGGGGGATTCGAACCTGGATCTGTGCATTCCAAGTCAAATGTCTAACCATTACACCACAATGGCTCTATACACTGCCTTGGAAATGACTGTGTCCCAGGAAGTGCAAAGGTTACAGCCACCGCAATGTAGCGGTTAGAGTGCTATACTAGTATCTGGGAGACTCTCTGGGAGAGGTTCAAATCCTTGCTCTGTGACAAAAGCTTGTTGGACGGCACTGGGCCTGTTACTCTCTGTTAGTTCAACCTGCCTCGCAGGGTGGTTGTAGTGAAGATTGTAGGAAGAGAGAAGAACAATATTGTAAACTACTGTGGGCCCCCATGAGAGAGAAAAGCAGGACAGACAAGAGCCCTGACCTGAATGGCCCAGAGTTGCCTATCTCCTCAGATCTCAGAAACTAAGCAGGGTCGATCCTGGTTAGTACATGGGCGGGAGACCACCAAGGAAGTCCCGGGTTCCCCTGCAGAGGCAGGCAATGCCAAACCGCCTCTCTTCGCCTCAGTCGGTTGCTAATCTATATAAATATATAGTATTTTCTGACAGTATAGTATAGTATATTGCGCCACGGTAATCCTGCAGCTCTTAGAAAGAGGTGGATGGGTGGAGCCGGGCTGTGGGCGGAGCGGGAAAGAGCCCCCCCCCCCAAATTCCGCGGCCCCAGGCAGGGCTCCTTTTGCCAGGCCAGTCACAAAAGTTTGGCAGCTCCGAGGCGCGCTTGCTGCTCGTCCGTCGCCAGCTCCACCTCCTCCTCCCACGGTAGCCAGAAGCCGAACCTAGGCTGGGCTCCTTCTGCCAGGCCAGTCACAAAAGTTTGGCAGCTCCGAGGCGCGCTTGCTGCTCGTCCGTCGCCAGCTCCACCTCCTCCTCCCACGGTAGCCAGAAGCCGAACCTTCTCCAGAGGCTGCCGCTGCTCGTCTCAGCAGCGCCGTTCCCTCGCCGGCTGCCAGGCCTCGCTTGGAGCCGGACGCCTCGGGGGGGGCGATTTTGTCCCGGCGGCAGCCCTGCGGGGAGAGCCGAGCGGGGTCGCCTCGCCTGGGGCGCACGAGGGGGCCGTGGCCGAAGCGCACGCCCCTCGCCCGGCCCGGCCACCCCGGCTGGAGGCGCCGCCGGGCTCTCCCGCTGCCGCCTCTCCCCTCCCCGGCTTCCTGTTGGGGGGCGGGTGAGTGGGGGGTCTCGGCGGGGGGGGGGCCGGCCCGGGCCGCCGCGCCTCAACCTGTTCGCGCTGGAGTCGGTTCGGAGGCGGGGAGGGATTTCCTCGGCAAGGCTGGTTCGGGTTGGTTGACACGGCGAGGAGAGCAGTTCAGTCCGGGTCGGGTGACTCAGGCATGAGCCCCGGAACGCTGCGCTCCTTCGCTGTCCCCTTCCTCCGTTGCATCGAGCCGCCGTTTCGGAGTGCGGGCTGGCCTGTTGGAAGCAGTGTAAGCGGAGGCCCCCCCCCTCTCCTTTTCTCGCCAACTGTGCCTGCCCTAGAGGAGTAAGCGACCCTTCCTTCCCCCCTGGAAATACCTCCCCAAGACCCTCGAGGCGGAGCCCAAGCGATCCTCTGTGGCCCACTGTTGGTATCAGTCCAAGTCTGGCTTTTGGAGTTTGCTGGTGGAGCCGGACAAGTGACTTCTTCCGCAGGGACGATACGAGTCTCCAGTCAGCTCTGCTTACTTTCCCAAAGTGGTTTCTACGGCAGTTTCCTAGTTTTGTCTTAGTGGAGACTGGGCTTCCCAGTGAAAAACCTGTAGGGCTTTAGGGGTTTTTTTTTGGGGGGGGGGAAAGGGGTGTCGTGTGAACAGCCAAGTGGTTGCGGTTGATCTCCGCGCAATGGCAGCAGGTGCTTTGGGACCAGTGTTCCCTCTAAGCTGAGTCAGTGTGAGCTAGCTCACAGTTTTTGTCTCGGCTCAGGAAGGAGGGCTCCAGAGCAAACTAATTTATGCAGGAGCCAGATCGCCGGCTCACAACTTTAATGCCAGCAGCTCACAAAGTAGAATTCTTGCTCACAATACGACTCCACAGCTTAGAGGGAGCATTGTTCAGGACGGTTTGTCTTCCCATTGCAAAGTTCCTGGCCTTCTCTTGTGTAAAGCTTGAGTAGGTCAGCAGCGTTTTTGACAGCGAAGAGTGTGACATTTTGCTGAGGATGAGAAGGCCCGGAGGGAACAAGGGTGACTCAGAACCATCCCTTTTCCTCTGGGTTTTTGCTTTCCTCGAGGGAGCGTGTGGAGGTGGTCTTGGCAGAACTTTTGCTCACTAATCAGTAGGGTCATAGCCAAGAGCATGTGGCTGGGTCCTTGGGCCCTAGGAGGGAGGGGGTGGTGGTGGAAAGTCCTGTCACGTCACAGCTGACTTATGGCAACCCCGTCGGGTTTTCAAGGCAAGAGAGGTTCAGAGGTGGTTTGCCATTGCCTGCTTCTTTGCGGCAACCCCTGGACTGCTTTGGTGGTCTCCCCTCCAAATGCTAACCAGGGCCGACCCTGCTTAGCTTCCAAGATCTGAGGAGATCAGGCTAGCCTGGGCCATCCAGGTCAGGGCACCTGGAAGTATTTCCTCTGTTTCAGGGAATTATTTCTTCAGTCACCTGTCTGACAGTTCAGGTAAGAGAGAAAAATGGCCGAAGTGACCAGTGAGAAACCCAGAGCCTGACACTTTTATACTTTAATTCCTCACTGAATGGGACAGAGTTCTGAGTAAATGTGTAGGATGCAACTGTCGCAGCATCTTTGGGCTTCTTGTGCAATGCTTGCTCCCCTGTGAATATGGTGATGCTGATTTCCTAGCTGCAATTCTGCATGCGCAATTATTATGTTTTTGATGTGTGGAAAAATGAACAGCTTGTACCGGATGTCCGAGTCTATTGATGACCATGTGGGAAACTTGGTTAACAGCTGCTCTTCAGTTTGCAAGGTGTGATTTCGGTCTGAGTCAGGCGCAGTGTGGAGAAGGAATTTAGTGTGTGCGTTCTCGCCCTATTAAGTTTTATATTTATGTTTTTAAAGCATGTCTGCAGGCATATGATGCAGTAGTTTTAAGCAGATTGGAGTCTCTGGTGCTTGAAGGGAAGGCCTCCAGGCAAACTTTTGAATGCTATGTTTTTAAAAAGCACAATGTAAATGTGGTTAAATTAGCTTCAGGTTTATTTAAATTCAAAGATGGGAAAATGTGATTAGTCTTTTGTTAAAAGTGGAAGTTTCTAGCCTGTTTGGATCGAGTTGGTCAGCCATGTTGGTTTGAAGCAGTACAACAAATTTAGAGTCCAGTGGCACCTTTAAGACCAACAAAGGTTTATTCAAGGTATCAGCTTTTGTGTGCAATGCACTTTATCAAATAAATATAAAGTGTGCATGCACACGAAAGCTGATATTTTGAATAAACCTTTGTTGGTCACAAGGTTACCATTGGACTCTAAATTTGTTGTTTGGATTGTTGTTAGTTTAAAAGCTTAATGGCCTTGATGTGTGTGTGTGTGGATTTCTTTTCTGTATCAAATTTATGTTAAAATATTTACAGTTTAGTCATAAGGACACTTTTCCTGGGATGAAGCACCATTGAGTAGTTGGACTAGGATTCTAAGTAGACTGTGCCTCTCAGAGATGTTTGCTTGCAGACTGAAATCCAGGAGGACTGCAGAAATCTTTTAAAAGTCTTGCCTGCATAGTGTTACAAGTTTCTTTGAGCACAAATGCTGGGAAGGCAACAATAACGTGCCATAAAATTGAGACATGCTTTTCTTCAAAAGGTCTGAATGTTTTACCATGATATGAGAAGTGCCTAGGAACTTCTTCTTCTGTCCCTTGAGTGAAAGTTTTTATTGCAGGGGAGAAAAAGGGAAGGAAATCAGTTTTTCAGCTGGATGTACTTGTAGTACAGTCAGGCATTCCATTCAAGTTTTGGATACAGGAAATGCAAATATCTATTCATCCAGTCTCTCTCTGTTAATCTCCCTTCCTCTATTGAACATTTATTTCCTCTCTGTTCATCTGTCAGTTTTCTGCAGGGCTACTCTGAGGCCATCCCCATCCATGCTCTTTTGTGAGTGCCATCTCTCTAGGGTTCTCCTCAAACTGGAGAAAAAAAGACATCTTGCCCTGTAACAGAAGCGTAAGGTGTGGAAATGTGCAGTTGACGCATTTCATAGCATAGAGGTAGATAACATTGAGGAATTTCAGACAGACGATATAATCCAGAAGACAAACGGTTTCTGGTCTGTCATTTCAGACAGAACCGTTTTAGAACCGGTTCCCTACTGGAATATATTTGTAATTTCAGACACAAACGCTTCTGTCCCATTTAGGAAACGGGGCTGAAGCGTTTAACCTGTCAACTGCATTCAAGTAGTCTTCAGTTTCCTCTCCCGGTTCCGATGCGGTTTTTCCCGTTGTTTTTCACCCGCGTGGGCAATCTCTGGCTTTTTTTTTTTTAACGTTCGCTTTATAGCATTATAGCACTATAATGGTATAACGCAACATCATTATACCAACCCCATTGGAATGCCTGGAGTGTTTTGTTATAGTACTATAGCGCTCTAAAGCGAATATTTAAAAAAAAGCCAGAGATCGCCCGCATGGGCGAAAAATGGGGGGGAAAAAGCGGTGCAGTCTGAAATGGCAAACCGCTTCAGATCCAGCTCTTTACTGGAAAAGGAAAGCCATGTGTGAAATGGCAGCTCTATACCGGTTTACTCCATGACAGATCAAAAACGGCTTCAAAATGGGTTAAAAAGGGTAATGTGAAATTCCTCATTGTCTGCTAATACCATCCCATTAACCATCTTTTAAAGTGGCAGGCATTTTTTTTCTCTAGGTTGATGGCCACCCTGCATCTCTCAGGAAAGCAGGCTTTGCTCAGAAACTCTAGGAGCAACTATGGTGCTGTTAGCAAAAATGTCTCTAAATGCAAAAAAATATTTTTAAATCACCACTTTATACAGCATTCTTTAAGAGCCGTATTTATGACAACAAAGAATGCTCCCAATCTGTTTGTTATTAGCCTTTCACTCAGTTGCAGTAAGCATGGAAAATCTGGAGCATGGGGGGGGGGAGAAGTGATACATACAGTTTAATTCCCCCCTCCTTTAATTCGAGGAAGAGTTTGGTCTCGATTACTGCTTTTTCCTTTCTAGCTCTCTGCAATTTTGTTCGTGGGATCCTGCAAAGCTGGATCAACAACAGAAACACAAATGTTATATGATTAGCATAACGGTTCACAGACTATGAGAGGCATTATGCAAAGAAATGTAACGTGATTCTGGTGGTGCATCAGCATAAAGCTTGGATGCCGCTTTCCTGTTCATATTTCCAGGGCTCTCTTAATACAAGGCCCTAAACTTTGCCTTCAAGTGGTCTCTTCTGTTGTCCCTAAGCCCTTTCGAGGAAAAAAATATTGCAATATAGTGTGTAGGGCTTTGGAGTTAAACTAGAGAAGTCTGGATCAAACTATCATCTGTTAGGAAGCCTACTCAGTGGTTTTGGGTTTCAAACTATATCCCTCAAGCTTCTAGGAAGGAAGTGAAAAGCTTAATTTTCTTTTTTCAGGATTCTTCAGAGAAAATCTCAGCGACTGGATTAACTGATAACTTTAGTAATTATATACAAGAAAGGAAATTGTAAACAGAAGTAGAAACTTGTAACAGCTATAATACAGACTTGAAGGAATTTCCCTATATGTCTTACCCAATACCCTTTACCCTTCCTACCCTTTTTGTCTGATTTATTATGTGTGAAAATCTAATATATTTTTTTAAAAAAAAGCTTCTAGGAAGGATAAAACTGTGTGGGAAAGCTTGAAAAAGCTTCACTAGTAAAAGTTTAATAAAACATTTCCCGATGAAAAGGAGATCTGTATCTTTGTCCTCAGTGGTTTAAGCTACAACCATAAGTCAAAAGCACTGACTTAACAGCAGAAAATAACTTTGGAAGCTTGTAAATCTCTCCTGTAGCTAAATGAAGAAGAGCTTCATGCATTGCACACACTCCCAAATTCCATACAATTATACAAATTCCGCTTGCGGGGAGGGCGGGGTATAAATCAAAATAATAAATAAATAAATAAATATAAATGACTTTTCTTATTGAACGGAATCATATGGGAAAAGTTCTGTTGCTGCCATGCTTGAAAGATGCAGCATTTGCAATGTGGCTAATTGCTGAACCCAGCTTCCAGGTCCAGAGAGTAGTCCAGATATGAATGATATGGCACATGAAAAGAGGGGAGGTAGGAGAAGGACAAAATAAGTAGGTTTTTCTAATGCAAGTGGCTTGAATATTTCTGCTAATTATGTGGTTCTCCTATAATTTTCTCCACCTTGACTCATTTCCTGTGGTCAGGCTGATTTTAACTTTCACTACCGTTGTCTATTGGGTATACATTTTGAATGGACTTTCCGTTTTGTAAAGCGCTAAAGGTTAGCACATTCAATATGGCACAAGCTTTT